TCTCTGCACTTTCAATTTTTTTATCTGGTGATAAGTACCTATAATAATTTTCTAGGATAACTCGATAAAAAGAAGCTACAGTATATAGTCTCTTTTTTATTTCTTTAATATATTGATCTATTTTTTGAAATATGCATATTTGTTGAATAACTGAAAGAGTAGAGAGTTCATAAAAATGAAAACGTCTATTGACTGGCTGGAGGAAAAGAGAAGAAAAATGAACATTATCAGAATGTTCCGTATATGTGTCAGTATGCAATTGCGAGAAACCAATTAACATGGACAAAAAACGATGTTAGCAGAAATTGAAAGAAATATGGCAACCTTCGTGGTGAGGGGGCTGTAAAGCCGTCCTCCCTTACTCCTCAAGTAATGTCATTGAGTCAAGTTCTGCAAAATTATTCCTTACGTAAGATGCTTACGGTCCCATTCGCCGAAAGTACCTAACGTGATAAAACAGCTATCGAAGATCCCATTTTCAATAGTTAAGAAAAAGTGTGTCAAACTCGTATTAAAACTCGTTATTCGGCTGAAAAATGATCAAATTTGGAATCTACCACGAAAAATACATTAAATGAGTGTAATTTTATCTATTCTAAGGGTGGGAAATCTCCGTAATCAGAGAATTTAAGACGCGTGATGCGCGATGACCGACCCCTCCCATTGACTCGATCCACCGTGCGGCGCGGCGCGGATCCGCGCGCCACCGTGAGCTTTTCGCGCCTGCGAGTACGCCGCGGCGCGCACGCATACCGCCCTGTAGCGGCTAAACCATCACAGATACGGCCAAACGGACGAAATTTCCGTCCGAAGGACCGCAATTCGAGGATTTCCACTGGGAAATGACTCTACTTTTGCCAATTTATCAATTTTTACACCTGCGCCCTTTAGGGCGCTTGAGAGACCCCTAAAAATTTTTTTAAATTTTTTTTTCAAAACGATTTCTTATTTTTTTGGGCCGCATCACGTTTTGAAAAAACTGCCCATTAAAATTTCTCAATTTTGAAAAATAAGGGACACCCTAACCGACGTACGATACGCGGGTGAAGACAAGCATGCTTTCTCCCCCGCGGTGTTGCCGGGCGCGCGGAAATTCCCGTGCATTCGTTAAATCGAGTTCGATTTACACGGTAAAGTTCGTACTCGGACCGAAGATTTCCTTCGTAAAAGCGAATATTCGTTATACCGAAATTCGTTATATAGGATTTATTTTACAATAAAAAGATAGGGATTTTTGCGGGACCGCGAAAAAAATTCGTTAAGGTGATTCGATGGACGCCATTTGTGTCAGAACGGCATGCGATATATCGCATCAATTTGTTCCATATTTTCAGCTACTCGTCATTTTTCTCCTATTTTGAGATCGCACTTCTGTTGTCAGGAGTCTAAAGCACTCACTTACCAATTTTAACAAAGAAATTCAACTTAATAAAGGCGTGGTTTTTTCAGAGAGAAAACATCGCATTCGATACTGATATCGAAACTGCACTCGAATGCGATATTTTCTCTCTGAAAAAACCACGCCTTTATTACGTTGAATTTCTTTGTTAAAATTGGTAAGTGAGTGCTTTAGACTCCTGACAACAGAAGTGCGATCTCAAAATAGGAGAAAAATGATGAGGAGCTGAAAATATGGAACCAATTGATGCGATATATCGCATGCCGTTCTGACACAGAATATGGCGTCCATCGAATCACCTTAATTCGAAGAATTCGTTTTATCGACGTTCGTTATATCGAAGTTTTACTGTATCTCCTTAACAGTTAATCTTACAAAAAAAAACAAAAAAACCAGCAGAAAGAACATACAATTTCCTACTGTGAACCCCCTCCCTTTCTTTTCCTAGCTTAATTTTTTGGTCGTAAAATTAACGATTTCATAAAAAAATTAGCTTAAAAAAGTGCATTTTTGCTGATTTTTGGAGAAACTTCGGTTCATAAGTATATCCAGCCACGATTATCTGAGGAAAAAACAGTAAAGCTCATTGAAAAGAGCGGTAAGTTTACTTTCAGAAACCAAATGTCAAAAGTTTCAAAGCTTGGCTTAATCCTGTGAAGCAGCAGTTTATTAGCTCCGCCCTTAAAATGTGACTTTAGCGATCATTCACCTCTCAATCAAGAAAAAAAGAGAAAAAAACCCCCTTAAAACATAACTCAAACTGTGTAACAAGGTGGACTATGGCGTGAACTTTTAGGCAAGAATGTTGTCGGCGCCCCTAACCCTCCCTGCCTCCAGCGAGAGGGTTGTGGGGGGCCTCTCCAGAAAATTTTGAATTTTAAGAGAGCATTTTTCTTTCTCTTTTGTGTCTCCTGGTCTTTTTTCCCTTTCGACTTTTCGGCGCCCCCCTCTCATCGGCGCTTTGGGCAACTGCTCCGCCCGCTCATACGATGCCTCGGCTCTGCATGACTGCAAGACGGCAAGCTTTGTACTGGTACTCATTAGAGCTCAAAATTTTTGAACTTTTTGGTTTTGTTTTCCCTGCAAAATAGTTTGAACCCAGCACTATTTTCCCACCTTGTTACACAGTTTGAGTCATGTTTTCAGGGGGTTTTTTTCTTGATTGAAAGGTGAATAGTCGCTTTGAAACTTATGACATTTGTTTTCTGAAAGTAAATTTTTCGCTCTTTTCAATGAGCTTTACTGTTTTTTTCTCAGATAATCGTGGCTGGAGATATGAACCAAAGTTTCTCCAAATATCAGCGAAAATGCACTTCTATTAAGCTAATTTTTTATAAAAATTGTCAATTTTACGACCAAAAAATTAAGCTAGGAAAAGAAAGGGAGAGGGATCACAGTAGGAAATTGTATGTTCTTTCTGCTGGTTTTTTTTTTTTTTTTGTAAGATTAACTGTTGAGGAGATATTTTCTAAAAACTGATCATAGGATTTCTCAATTTTGAAAAATTCAAAATTGCGGTGTCCCCAGACAATTTCCTTGACGTTATCATGGGCAATTTTGGACATCTATATCACCTAGGAATTGAAAAATTGATTTGGTTCAAAGGACGGATCCCATGTTGAGCAGTGTAATGCTACAAAGCTTCTCTCCTTTTTTTTGTATTTGTTTGGTCTTTCAGAAGACATTGTAAAGAAGTTTCGGTAAACCCAACACACACACACACACACACACACACACCCTCACCCTCACATATATATAGTCTCTTTACAACGCACTCTGGCGTTCCACTACACCCAAATGCCACATCTGCCTGTCTTCCCAGAGGTTATCGGGCAGCTGACACCGCAACATCTCTTCTTCAACACCCCGCCGTCAACCCTTTACGGGACGTCCCCGTCGCCTCTTCCCAGGTGGTACCCAATCCAAAACTTGTTTGGGCAACCTCTCCTCCAACATTCTTTGCACATGTCCATATCAGCATAACTGCCTGGACATGTGCACGACGTCATGTCCATACCAGCACAACTGCCTGGACATGACGTCGTTCACGATATTTTTCTCAACCTCCATCACCTAGCAAATTCTCTCATTACGGACACGGTCCCGTCTCGAAATGCCGGCAGATCGCCGCCAAAAATCCATTTCAGTTGCCCTCAACATTTCTTGCGTTCTTTTCGTCAAAGGCCACACTTCACTACCTTAGAGCACGATACTTTTAACGATGGAGTCATATATCCGGTGCTTGTTTGCCTTTGAGATGCTCTGATCCCAGAGCATCCCGTTCAGCATCGCGATGGCTCTCCTGCCCTGGATGATCCTGTCCTTAATTGCTCTATCCATCCTTCCATCCTGATCTAGCTAGACACCGAGATACTTATACTTGTCACACTCTTCGATACGCCGTCCATCCCCAAGCTCTATGCTTTGCCGTTGATGCGCTGCTCCCACGACCAGCATCTCTGTCTTGGACACACTAACATCCATGCCCCATTTCCGATATTCTTCAACCAACTTCTGCACCATGTATTCTGCATCTTCTTCATCTTGAGCTACTACGATCTGGTCATCGGCAAAGCATAGAGTATGAAGGGTCTGCCCATCAAAAAGTGGAACGCCCATTCCCGCAACCTTATTTTTCCATTCCTTCAACACGTGCTCTAGGTATACCTTACATAGTGTTGGTGACAAACAACAGAGGGTGAACTCAAGGTTTTAGCCCTTTTGTGACAAAGAAACCTCTGGACAACTCTCCACGAGATGTAACTCTTGCTATCGTCCCGTTATAAAATGATTTAATTGCCCCCACAAGTCCTTTGCTAAAACCCCTTTTTTTCAAGGCTTCCCAAAACTTCACCAACGGCACGCTGTCATAAGCTTTCTGAAGATCCACAAATACCAAGTGCAGCTCCTGGCTGACCGCCCTTTTCTTCTCGATGACCTGGATAATGATGAACAAACGGTCGACGGTAGACCTACCGGCTCTAAAACCAGCCTGTTCTTCGGCTTCCTGGCTGCTCCAAACCTCTTCGACCTTTACCTAAACATACATTTGATAATATGATGAAATCATGTTTGTAGAATCTAATATTTTGAGCAAGAGGAAACTGAGATAACAGGCAGCATGATAATGAGCAAGAATCCGATATAATATAAACCTAGTTTTGGACTGTAGGGTAGTTGAACAAAAGGGATTGAGTTTAAACATTTGTGTTGAATATTTGGTTACCTCAATAACGATTCAACTTACTGTTGCTAACACAAAATTATGTCACAGTATTTATCCTTTGAAAAATATCCACAGTTTAGATTCTGTTTCATTGTTTTTTATCTAATTCTAGTTAAAGCTGAAGTTGTTGAACCTGGATGCCGCCTGCCGCAAAATTTTACCGGAGAATGGATCAACACTGCTAACATTGACGCTGATGTTGTTATCAATGAAACTCATATTGTTGAGACATGGTATCCTGATGATGGTCGTTACAGACGCACACTTTACGTTTGCAGAGAACAAAGGGACTCACGTTTTATGATGGCTCGTTTAACAGTTGATGGATGGTGAGTCCTCTGAATAAATATATCCTGATCATTAATATCTGATTTTTTGTTGACGTATAAGAGGTTTCAACGTTTGATACAAACAAAAAATGAAATTTTTTTAATGTAATCGGGTGATGTTTGTTTTATCTTTTTGAAAGCCTCTTGTGTCGAACAACTTCCCCGAAGTACACATGAAAATGTTAACTTTGTTAGAGCTCTTTACTTCCTCTATTATCTTTGCATTTAATTTATGAAAGTTTAATTTTACTTTGTTCTAATCATTTTGTTTCCTTGCACGACTTTCTTTCAATTTCAGTCAAAAAGATTATGTTTGTTTCGATTTTGTACCACAACATCACAATGTCATTCGCTACCGAAAAGGACTTGCTGTCATCAAAGATAATTTTCATACTGTTTGCTCTTACGTCCAGTTTCCAAACAAAGAACAGTGGAAGTACGATTTATACCTAGGTGAGCATCAATCTGTGTTCTAACAACAACCTGAAATATTTTGATGAACATATAATGGATCAGCTTTCGGACATTTACATTCCTGCAAAAAATTTCTTTTACTTCTTCTCCTGTATCACAATTATTTCAGCTACAAGAGTTGAATTTCCGAATATCAAACTTCTAGGTACAGACAAATAGATTTAAACTTAAACTTCTGTAATAAACTGTATAACTTAATAATTTACATTGCCCAATCATCTAATTAAACATTCATTAGACACTTGAACCACAATTTTTCATCATATGAAACTAAAGCTGATACAAGTTCAATTTAACTTTTTCAATCTTGGTTGGTCCTTAACTGTAAATCAGATGAAAATGAATCCCTCAATCTCAAATTAAAACATTTTGTTTCATTAGTCGTGGCAGGACTTTATTTTTTATTTCCTTATTACTTTTGATTTCAAATAACTTCCAATCTTTCCATTTTTTTCAGCCAAAAATCCTGTACCTGTCAAGTGTCCAATTGCAGGAAAGTTTAATTTCACACAGAAAGGTGACGTACCATTTGAAACCAGAATTCTAGGTGGTGTGACTCTCTCTCCTCGTCCTAACCTGTACTGCAAAGAAAATATTTCAGATTTTTCTGTGTGTGACACTGACAAGAAGGAAATTGCTATAGATGAAAATTACTGCTTGTCAGTAGATTATAAGGGAAGACCAACAGATATCTACAGTAAGTGAATAGCTATAAAGTTCATTCAAATTTATTGTCGCTATGTTAACCACATCCAATCATTTTACAATCTTCACAAGAATGTATCGTCAAGTGCACTGGCCTTTCTTTGGATGGATTACATGGTTTTGCAGGGCTGGATTTACATTTTCAGCGCCCTAGGCTTAACTTGGGTTGATGCCATTAAAAGCAGGCGATCATGTGAGGCACGGGTTCCAGACCTTTCTCCCCTCAAACCAGAGGGAAGATGTTAGATGCCAGGAAATTGTTTTCTTTTAGATTTTGTAGGTAGTGAATACATGAATCAAGGTGATGTTTGTAGAAAAAAAATGTTATTCTTAAGGTAACGACCGGTTAGTTATTATCAGAGCGTTCATATAAATACTTAACTTCCGAATAACAAAATGTACAATTAACTTTCAATAAGCAAACATTATCAAACAGATCCATTATCAAGCAGACCTTCCCATTAAATTACATGATTTTGTAAGGCTGGGTTTCCATTTTTATTGCCCTAGGCTGAACTTTTGTTAATACCCTTAAAAACAAAGCGCCAATGTAAGGTAGAAAAAGTTCATGGAAGCTTTGAAAGTTTCTTATGAAGTGAATATGAATTGCATGAAGTAGTATCCAATGCAAGGGTTCCTCCTCAACTTAGATGTAATAGCAAAGTGTATTCATGTTTTGAAATTATTTCTCAAAAATTGGTTGCACCCTCAGTTACAGCTACGTAGCCTATTTGCAATTCCGACCCTATTGTTTTGATGAACTTCCTGACCCATAGCACAGCACAGCAAATTTCGGGTTTTGGTTTGTCCTTCAAACCAAACCAATTTCTTTCGATTCCACGGTGCTAATGAAGCCCGAAAATGGCCATATTAACTTCAGGAAAATTGGCTGGTCCTCAGGGCGCCGCCATTTTGAATTTTTCAACATTAAGAAAACCCACGATTAGATTTTTGCAAACATCTCCTCAACGGTTCATCTCACGAAAAAAACAAAAAAAAACAGCGGAAAGAGCATAAAATTTCCTACCGAAATCATCCTCTTTCGTTTTTTCTAACTTAATTTTTTGGTCGTGAAATTAACGTTTTCTTCAAAAATTAGCTTATAAAAGGCGCATTTTTGCTGATTTCAGGAAAAACTTTGCTTCATACCTCCAGCCACGATTATCTGAGAAAAAAACTGTCATGCTCATTGAAAAGAGCGTAAAATTTACTTCTATAAGCATACTAGCCGTTCTGGGCGCGCTTCGCGCGCCCGTCACGCCTAGCCGGGGGCTAAGCCCCCTGGACACCCGGTCACTCGCTACGCGAGTGACATTCGGCTCGCTTCGCGAGCCGATTTTGTAGTAGTTGCAAATTTTTTATCACTATATTTTGAAGATTTCATAGAAAACATTATGAAATTCTCACTCCACAATTAACTTGTAGAATAATAATGGCAGGGCAAGAAATAGACTATATCTTAAAATGGACGGTTCCCACTTAGTAAAAACAGCCAACACCACGTGAAGGTGAGGAACCATCGTTAGCCACTTTTTTTTTTTTCTTTACTTTTCTGAAAAAAATTTACTGAAATTTTAGTTGCGTCCCCTAAAAGGAAACACGGAGAAAAAAATTGGTGCATGGAACCCGAAGCTGAGATCATATGGATCTCTGAAGTTTTCGGATCACGCATCCGAAAAGTTAAGGTCCATCTGCCGAAGTTCGGGTCAGACAATTGAAGTAGTTCGGTATATACCGAAGATTTCAGGTCACACATCTGAAGTACTCGGTGCATACCGAAGTGCTTCAGATTTCTGACTCAGAGATTTAGGAAAAACACAGTAGAGAACCAAGGAAATCACAGTAGAACAGAGAAAAAAATACAGTCGAATAAATAAAGAAAACTATTATCGAAGAAATTCTAATTATTAGACAGTAATTAGCTGGCGTAATCAATGCGTAGCTGCATAGGAGCATGAGCGAGATTTATCATCAACTGACCGCTGGCCGCTAGGTACCTGGGTGGGCGAGCGACAATACGTAAGTGGTGGCATATGGTTCGATTGACAGAGGAGTGGGGAACGGTCAGACGTAGGGGAAAGGTTCAGGCTGAACCGTTCAGCACAGCGCAGCGTCAGTCACCGGGTGGGGAAGAGAGTCCGGGAGGGGACACTTCCCCTCGAGTGAAATAGAAAAAGGCAGAATCCTTCGAAGTTTATATTAATGATGTCAATAGTTCCTAAACTTGATTTAATCCTGTGAAACAACAGTTTATTAGCTCCGCCCTTAAAATGTGATTTCTTCGACCATTTTCCTTAGAATCACGAAATCAAGAGAGAATAAAATCCTGAAAACGTGACCCGAACTGTGTAAAAAGGTGGCAAAATAGTGCTGGGTCCATACTATTTTGAAAACAAAACCAAAAATTTTCAATCACAGAGTCCAAAATTATGAGCTCTAATGGGTAACCAGTATGGCAGTACATAATTGAAGGGGAAGAGCATTCAGCTCAGGCATTTAGCATTGGAATATTAAGTAGAGGTCACGGCGAGAGATCTATAATTTTGGGTCTTTTTATACCTCATCAGTAGATCACACTCGTCATGTGAACCCAACTGAAAATCTCGCAAAATCCAAGACGGCATCAAAGCTCAAGTTCGAAGTACAAGTTTTGTACTGCAAGACGGGAAATTTCGTAGTGGCACTCATTAGACCTCAAAATTTTTGCCTCTGATTGAAAATTTTTGAACTTTATGGCTTGTGATCTCACTGACGAGTGTGATTGTTTCAATCTGTAGTAGAGGTTCCCGCATGTTGTCGATTCCATGGTTGTAGAACATCAACCAGTTTTTTGTTTCTTCTAACAGTGAAAAATACAATAATTTTTTTACACCTAACTGTTACACGGGACCCCTTGGGGTCCGAATAATTTTCCTCAAACCACAGAAAAAACTAAACTAACTTACGAGTAGTGGGAGAGGAAGAATAACTTTTTAGATGAAATGAAACCATTTAGCATCAGCCATATTGTTTAAGCGCGGCTGACCTTCCAATAGACGGAAAGCTCATTGCAATTCATTTAATCAGAATAATAAAAATTTGCCTCCCACCTCATTTGAAGCAGATTTTAGTCGGTCAAAAGAAATGAAAGGTCTGGCAGGGAAACCGGTTGTACCAAAAAAGTTTTAGGCCCCTAAAAACCCCAAAAATTGCTCTGATTTTAACCGGTAACATATACACTTGGTGTTGGGCTCATTTCACGCGAAAACCTTCCTCATTAAGGGTCAGTCGGTCTAGCAGCCCAAATCGGTTGCTTAAGGGCCGCCAGACCGATTCCAAGAACCCCGCACCATCCTTTTGGGAAATCCCCCCCCCCCTTAAAACCTGATGAAACTTTAATTTGTTGCTCAGCTAGTCATTCTGATCCAAAGCTCTCGCGGGCCCAAAGAGATCCCATGTGCGGTTTTCGAGATATTCGCAGTTTCATATGCGTGAAGGGAGGTCCCGCCGGCCGGACCATTGTGCAGCACTACTCGTACCCTTCCCCTCCGGTCCACTCCGGCCCTAATCTGAACTCAGATAAGACCACCTAGGCCGGTGCCGATGAACGAAGCCTCGTGAGCGTCGGAGTCCGAGCCTCTGGCATGGATGGCGGAGAAGCGGAGAGGGCGGGGCGGGGGGTTGGCGGACTGGAAGGGAAGGGTACGAGTAGTGTCGCACGATGGTCCGGCTGGCGGGACCTCCGTTCACGCATTTAAATTGCGAGTATCTCGAAAATCGCACATGAGATCTCTTTGGGCCGTGGGAGCAATTGATCAGAATGACTAGCTGAGCAACATATCAAAGTTTCATCAGGTTTTACTGGGGGAGATTTCTCATTTGGATGGTGCGAGGTTCTTCGGGAAACAATCGCTCAAATTTCAAGCGGCAACATATACACTTGATATTGAGCTCATTTTATGCGGAAAACCTTCTTGAATAAGGATCAGTCGGTCTGGCGGCCAAAATCGGTTACTTAAGGGCCTTCAGTCCGAACTTTCTCCGGAAATTCTTGATTAATTATATCTATAAAAGGTGGCTCAGACCTCTCATACCAAGCCTTTTTTCGAGGAAAACTGGTTTTGGTGTTTTGAAAAGTGGTTAGTCGAATAGAGAATTGACCATGAAGAATCCAAATTTCATATCCTCAGGACCCCCAACGACTCTTTAGGGGTTGTTTTTGGGGGGTCATCCTCGTATCTAAAAATTGCGTAGAAAACGTGGTCAGTTATGGTCAAGAATGGAGTCCAATATTCCGTCTCAATTTTCAATCAAATTAGAGACCCTCCTAAGAGAGAGAGAGGGGGGGGGGAGAAGCTGGTGCTACCGTGCTTAAACTCCCAGTGATGAACGCCAGTTTTCCTGCAAATAAACTAACATCCCTGGGAAAGCTGCAACTCAGAACTATCGTAAGGTAACTCTTCGTGAAAAATACAATATTTTAGATCTAAGAGTCCTAAGAGGGCTCCCCAGGGCCATGTGGGGAGAGGACGCCCTGTGTAGGCCCCTTTTGTCCTCTCCATGCCCAAAGCCTAACCTAACTGTTCAAGAAACACTCGCATGTTGAGGTTTCAGATACCCAAAAGGCTACCGCTACCCACAGTAGGGCATGCCATTTTTCCTAAAGTTTTGAAAAGTCCCGCTCCACCGGATTTTCCTAGTGATGCCTACCACCAAGATCACCCACTAAAAGTTTGAACTTGATTGGACAGTTTTTGGACGCACCGGCTTACCTAAAACGTAATAAACTTTTGCACCAAATACAGCATTTATCATCATAAGTTTACAGGTCGTTGTAAAATTTTTAGCTCGTTCTGTTTGTTTTTCCCATTGACGTCAATCCGCAGCAAAAGTCTGGAGCATACCGGCTGATCTCATCGTTATTTACGTGATAAAATATCTTAAATAAGATGGGAAACGGGAGCAGGATCCTCTCAGGAGAGGATACTTTGTCGAATCTTTCCTTAAACCCATTTTTTTTAGAAAAAATAATATCTTAAAGAGAACAAGATTATGTTAATATAATGTTTTAAACAATAACATGTTGTTCATAATATCTTGCTTTATTATATATTATGTAAAACCAGTTTCACACCAAGGACAACTTTTGCATTTGCGGAAATTGCATTTTAGGTGTACCTCAGCCCACCGCGTGAGAGGGTAATCTACTATCTGAGACCAAATCTGTTTCAATATCCTTAATCTGCGCAAAAAATTTGTGACACGTGTAAATCAATGGCCTCATTCCTAAAAATCTCCCTAAAAACACCATCATGAAACTTGTTCAAATGTTCAATGCTGTTATGGTTTTAATAATGATTTCATACCGGAGAATTTTTAGTTTTAACATTAACTTCGATTTCGGGCGATACGCCGTATCATTTCGTGAAACTTTAAGTTGATTTGAGCAATTTTCTTTTTAATGTGGACTTTATAAAGCAGTCGTTCATCCAGATGGAGACTGAGATACCTGGAAGATTTTTAGGGATTTGGGGAGGAGGATCGGAAGGATCGTTTGATTGTCAAGAATTAATGGAATATGTATTAATTTACGTTTATTAGTCAATATAACTTCAATTGATTTGGAACAATTGAGTAAGATTTTATCCCTAGCTGTCCATTTTTGAATTCTATTTAGATAGTATTTCACCTTGTTGTGGGTAGTATGGTAGTCTTTGGAGGAGGCCATTATCATAGTATCGTCAGCGACAATTCCCATCTCGTCCTCCTCTTCGAGGGAGGTATGTCGGCAGGGAAGGAAGCAGAAGGAAATTAAGAGAGGGATAAAACAGAATCCTGCGGGACACCAGCTCATATTGGTCTGAAAGTCGACAGGGCATCTTCGAATCTATTGCGAAATGCATGATTTGAAAGATAAGAAGAGAGTATCTCAACATGGTTAAACTAATTTATCCGATGCAACATTGGGGATTCCCCAGATAGAAGCGTACATTTGAAGATATATAGAACTCAAAATCGCATGAAAATCCGGTAAAAACTGCCTAAAACTACCCAGAATTAGCGTTTGGAAATTGACTTTCCGTTCCTTATGGGAAATCCCATGTAAATCGAACCGACCGAATCGGTTAGGGCACCACGCCTAAAATCGTGATATATCTCGAAGTGTGACGTCGTCACTAAAACGGTCTATAAGGAAAAACGCAGTGCGTGTCTGTTGTTTTATCTGTTCCTGCCGACTCTGGGGCTATAATCCCTTCCGCTCTCGTTTGTTTGACGTTTACTGTTTCTCTCTGATGTTCCTGTTCTTATTCTCCTCACGAATCTGATTTGGATGGTCAAGCAAAAAGACGTGCCGAATCCGAGATAAGAATGCCGCTCGGTGCTGGAGTTCCCCTGATTTCCTTCTTGATACACAGTCGACTGTTCACTCGAATGCTGAAATGAGGAATCTATCTGACTCTTTATCGCCGATTAATTGAATCTTCTCGGGGTTTTTTTTGCGAAAACGGTGCATCGTAGAAAGTTGGCGCAATGATAACTTTTGATATCTTGAGGAGAATCGAATGCAATATAAAAATTAAAAAATCCATTATGGTGCACTTTCCCAGCACATTTGACACAGCGGGGTTGCTTTAAACAATAGTTAGCAGTGTGACAAAAGGCCAAAAATCTTTTGCATCAAGGGACGATAGCATTGTTTATTTTAATAGGCTTGATTTTAACTATTATATTGGAAGTGGCTTTAATATTGTAAATTTTTTCCATGTCCATAGAGCTTTCAAAGCAGCCACTGTATCCTATCTTTAAATTTTTTAATTTTAAAAGGATTTCGAGCATTCTGATTTTCTAAGCTTTCTTTAATTTTGTTCTGCAGGTGATCCTGATTACCGCATGAAATGTATTGGTTTCTGGAAAGAAAACCTCAAATCGTACCTCATTACTTATGATGAACTTGACCCTTTCAGCAAATACAGATGCTGGGTAATCAAATCTGTCTTATTAATATATCTTTAAGAATTAGTAGTCCGGATGGATGCACATATTTATCATCCATTTAAATTTTAAATTATATCATTTCTCGTTGCGTCGGTATCCTTTGTGGTGTGTGGTATGTAGAGAATCCTTTTTTGACAGTTTTAGGTCTCAGGTCAAGTTAAAAGAGCCCATGATAAGGACAATCCGAGCTTACAGCTGTCAGATGAAGGCCTGCGCATCACTCTCTATCACAAACGTAGCCGTAAACGTTTTAAGCCATCCTAATTTTTTGGTACTCTCAAGTCACCTTTTCTCCTAATTGCAATCATCAAAAAAATAATAGGAAATAACTGTAAGCTTCGGTCACTTACTATTTTCGAGTGACCCAGTAAAAAATAATGGCCGCTGGCTAATTTATGATGCGCCGGCACATGGAAGGGGTTCCGCCCCACTTCCACTTCGCGGTGTGGTGCGGAAACCGCACAGAAACTTTCTCGCTCAAGCCGGCGCACGGTGGGCCAGATCGTGTCCGTAGCGGCGCTTAATTGATAACTCCTGCTAGATCAAGCATATCGTTCAAAACATGATGATTCCTAGGGTAATTTGATTCCCTCTTTCCAAATTTTGTGTCAAAAAAACCGGCAAAAATGTCTAAATGTAGGTTTTGGACGTCGAAAGCTGAAGAAATTGCTCGATAAAAAAGTGGATCTTGTGCTCTTATAAAATGGGGGAAAAACACAATCATCAAACCGGAAAATGCAATCTTATCATCTAACCTTGTAATTCTATTGGAAGGAGAATATTTTCGGTTTTGCAGATCCGAAAAATATTGATTTTTAGCTGCAGGGCATGAGATCAAAGTTGCCCGAAAAATAAGCCTTAAAAAATTAATTTTTCAGAATATTGTCGACTGGGAAAGTGCCATTGCGGTTCGTTGCGCGGTTCTCTCTGGTATTTTTAGAAAGCACATATCCTAGAGATACCATATACCAAAGCACAAACGGTACAAACCGGTACAACCATATTTGTCGGATGCTTATTTGAGGCGACCTCCAATTTCCGCGAAAATCAGATGTAGAGGTTTTAAGGAACTACGTTACCCAGTAAAGCGACCAATGAAATATTTCAACACAAATTCATGTTTTAAGGGTTTTTAAGGTTTCTAATAGCATTTCTCGCTCTTTCGATACTTTAGGGTGGATGGAGGGGGAGGGGGAGGCCGACCAAAATCAGACAGTCAAAAATTTTTTATGGTTAACAATTTTCTTGAGCTTAGTAAATAATTTTAGTAATAATTTTTTTACATCCGTTCACGCATTCAGCCCAAATAGGACTGGTTTTAAACCGATTTGGCAATGAATAGGAAAATTCTACAGTCACATGGCACCTAAGTTTAGAGTGAGTTGACCGTCGCTGACACCAATATAACTGCTGAAATTTCAACTTCTCTGTTGAACTGTACTTTATGCAATCTTGCGTGCTTGAGGATGATATCTTCAAGGGAGAGGAGGATTCTATATCGAATTCTCTTAATTCGATCAAACATTAATATTGGTATGAAAATAACGCAATAACAAGAACCGACTCGTACACTGCTCAGGATACCGTTACTTACCTAAAACAACACATTATTTACACGATGACAATAGCTTTTAGGAGGGGTGTAACACTAAAATAGGCATAGTTGTATTTAAAGAAGTCAATATTTAGTTATCTGAGTGACTTCAATCATACGATATTACATTACTTTCAGTCTAACAATGAAATTGAAATTTCATTAGTTATATTGGTGTGAGCGACGGTCAACTCACTCTAAACTTAGGTGCCATGTGACTGTAGAATTTTCCTATTCATTGCCAAATCGGTTTAAAACCAGTCCTATTTGGGCTGAATGCGTGAACGGATGTAAAAAAATTACCATTATTTACTGAGCTCAAGAAAATTGTTAACCATGAAAAATTTTTGACTGTCTGATTATGGTCGGCCTCCCCCTCCCCCTCCATCCACCCTAAAGTATCGAAAGAGCGAGAAATGCTATTAGAAACCTTAAAAACCCTTAAAACATGAATTTGTGTTGAAATATTTCATTGGCGGCTTTACTGGGTAACGTAGTTCCTTAAAACCTCTACATCTGATTTTCGCGGAAATTGGAGGTCGCCTCAAATAAGCTTCCGACAAATATGGTTGTACCGGTATGTACCGTTTGTGCTTTGGTATATGGTATCTCTAGGATATGTGCTTTCTAAAAATACCAGAGAGAACCGCGCAACGAACCGCAATGGCACTTTCCCAGTTGACAATATTCTGAAAAATTAATTTTTTAAGGCTTATTTCTCGGGCAACTTTGATCTCATGCCCTGCAGCTAAAAATCTATATTTTTCGGATCTGCAAAAGCGAAAATACTCGTCATGCAATGGAGTTTACCAGTCAGATGCATATAATGGTTTGAGGTTCACGAGTGCTCTGTGAAATAAGCGAGTATACAACTCGCGCCTCAGGTTGCAGAAATCTGGGTTCATCACATTCCACATGCTGCATATCTATCTACGTGGAAACCGCAGATATAATGAATATTTTAGATATTCCCATGTAATTTCGTTATCAGTAGGTATCTGAGCATCGATTAAGATAGCTCTGATGTGGGGAAAAAAATGTCGAAAAATTGCATTTCGCGCCGCTACGGACACGATCTGGCCCACAGTGCGGCGCTCCGTGCCAGCCTTGCAAAAGGTTGCGAGTTTAACATGAATGCACGGCTTTAACATGGAATCTTTAATTGAATTACCGACCTATTTCTCATCGCCACAACTGTAAAATTAATTTGGAAAAAGTGAGTTTTGTGACATTTTTAGACCGAGAATCATAATCCGGGTTTTTTTGAGCAAATAAAATTTTGGGTGGTGTACTCGAGAATTTATCCCGTATTTGCTCGGGAATTAGGCGAGCGTCTTAGCCACCCGTCCGCCGGGAGTGCCGCGCCGCGCTGCACTATGGTCCATAGACCGTATTGAACGGAACTTTATTCAAATTTTAAAGATGCAAAAAATTAAAGTTTGGCACCATAGTTTTAGCATACATACTCTCAGGGATCGTCACCCGAGTTTTCATCAACTGATAAATATTTATAAGATTGTGACGGACCTTAACAACAGAGCACGCAACAGGTCATCATTAGCTGATAATGGGCCACATTCGATATTGCATCACAAGGTGTTAATTTTACCAAGTTGCGCCTCATCTGCGTAAATTTTTGGGTAACATGGAACCAGTTGATGGCAAATGACGTCCCTCTTACCCAGTTTCATCAATTTTGAACCGAAAGAATGCTTTTGAACGCTACAAACATCCACCGAAAATGATGGAAATCAACGTTTGTAATTTTTGGGAACAGGGTTGTTAGCGACCAGGAAAACCGAGAAGAATCAGGGAAAAAACCAACCGGGAAATGTCAGGGAATTTCGGTGCTGCTAAGGGATTTTTCTGATTATTCGTGTTTGTTTTTTTTTCGTGGAATCGGGCGCGGGCACACTGTGGGCCAGATCGTGTCCGTAGCGGCGCGAAATTCAATTTTTCTAGGAATAGGTTACCAATGGGTGGTAGGTTAAGACCTACAACATATCAAAACACCAGCTGATTTAACCGGGCCCACTTTTCCACAAGACCGGTCCGTCGTCCTTTGCTCATTTTCCCGAAAATAAGTCGCTTTTTCGGAAAAGTAAAAGGTGATAGGAAAAAACGAAGGTCATTTTCGGACTCGGCGGCTTAAAATACATCAAAAAAGTTAAATTTTGTACCTGAGAAAAATTTTACCTACATGCTGCAGGAGTCAACAGTCTCAAAAACGCCAAAAATGCATGGAATATTCCACATTTTGATGCATGGAGATGCACTCTGAAAAAAATTAATTTTGACCGTTGGGCAAGAAAGGCGACATTTAAATTGGCATCATTTTTAAGATGCAGTCGCAATCATTTGCATAACAAATTCTCCAAAACATGGCGAAAGAATCGGTTTAAAGCGGCTCGCCGACACTGAAATCGGTGGCGTAAACACCGCCCCCCCCTTTTTCCTAAGGCAAAGTGGTTCAGTTTTTTAGTTCGGATGGCTCCAGCCTATTCAGAGGATACAATAGACTCAAGAAACCATCAAAGAATCTTGTAGGCGACCAATAAACCCGGGTGTCAAAACTACCAATTATACGCCGAATTCGCTACTATGACCCCCAAAATGGGGGGTAAAACTTCGAGATAGGAAGAAACGCTCACAGACACTTTTGATCAGTAGGTTAAGACCTACAGCATATCAAAACACCAGCCGATTTAACCGGGCCCACTTTTCCCATAAGACTGGTCCGTCGTCCTTTGACGTATTTTCGTCATACATGCAATTCATTTCAGTACATTGTCCTGGACCCCCAGTAGAGCTGGTAGAGCGATTTCAAGCTGTTAAATTCGAATATGACCTTGGTCTTTTTTTTCTATCACCCTCCAGTTCTCCGATAATGCCAATTTTTCCGAGTCTCTTGTGTAGAACCTTTCCCAGATTCAAAGTCTGTTAAAAATGCACTCTATAAATATTTTTGATGTGTGAAACATCGATTCTTATGTATTTTGACCTGCTAAACTCGAATATGACCTTGGATTTTTCCTACCACCTCTCATTTTCCCCAAGTAGTCAATTTTCCTCGGAGAACGAGCTTTTTTGGTATTTTTGCGATGATTTTCCTGTTCGAAGGAGTTGTAAACATTTTCCAAGATCGTCTTCAGATCTGTTCTGATGTCTTAAGAGGCATTTAGTTCACCCTTCACTAGCCTGTGACAACCTCCCGGTATCCTTAGAAGAGGAAAATCGTCGCAAAAATACGAAAGAAGCTCGTCCTCCGAGGAAAATTGACTATTCCGGGAAAATGAGGGGTGGTAGGCAAAATCCAAGGTCATATTCGAGTTTAGCAGGTCAAAATACACAAGAATCGATGTTTCACACGTCGAAAATATTTTTAAAGTGTATTTTTAATAGACTTTGAATCTGGGAAAGGTTTTACACAAAAGACTCGGAAAAATTGGCATTAACTGGAGGGTATTAAAGAAAAACCAAGAAAATATTCGGATATAACAGCTTCAAATACTTAAGAACCACTCTACCGCGGGTTTAGGTAACTGTGCTAATATGAATTGCATGCACGACAAAAATACGCCAAATTTGCTCATTTTCCCGAAAACAAGTCGCTTTTTCGGAAAAGTGAAAGGTGATAGGCAAAAACGAAAGCCATTCTCGGACTTAGCGGCTCAAAATACATCATAATAGTTTAATTTTGTACTTGAGACAAATTTTACCCACATGCTGCGGGGGTCAACAGTCGCAAAAACACCAAAAATGCCAATTTTCCGGGGAAAATCAGCTTTTCCGGAAAATTGAAGGGTGATGGACAAAAGCGGAGGTCATATTTGGGTTCAGCACCTGAAAATACATATAAATCACCTGATCTTCACTGGGAGACATTTTTTAATTTTTTTTTGTATATGTTCTTGATCGTCAGAATAGGGGGAAAAAATCTTCAGTCTTAAAAGCGCCACATTTCAAGTCAAGTTTCTCGGTCAGGATGTTGATATTTTGTTAAACTAAGATGTACAATGAAATCATAAGATCCATCAAATTTTAAAACGGTACATTGCGTTTTCGAATAAAGCTCCGTTAAATCCAGCCTGTGGGCCATAGTGCGCTGTGCCAAAGCCTCATAGCCTCACTTTTTACATCTCCCGTGGGTGGTAATTTGGTAAAAAAATAGTTGCTTCACGCTTCGTGTAATCAGTAATTACTGTTCACTGCGAGCAAAGAATCAATCACGTTCGTGCAGTATTATTATGTTTGTGTTCAGTAAAAAGGAATCGCGAAAGACGGAATCTTCTGGGATGCTTAAGTCTATGAGCAACATACATGTTAGCTTTCAATAAAGATCTAAGTGATACTTCTAGTGTTAGCTTGGATGATTCATAGTATGTAAGAATTAGTCGTTTAATTTTGCTTGATGTATAAGGAGTAATTAATTTTGGAGATGATACATTTGAAATTCTAAGTCTCACCTAATCAAAGCACTCGCTGCTAATACTCAGGAGTGTTCTGTGTCTTTCAGCGGACGGCCCAATTGAAAATTTGCCATTGGCCCCTCTCCAATTTTGAGTCTTGTCCAAAGATCTTTTAGGAACTTAAATTAATGATCCAACTGGTGTTTGTTGCCAACTTTCAAAGAATTAAAGGTATTTGTCCGTCCAAAATTTTCAGTCCTTGAAAGAGCCCTGTGATCTAGCAGACCACAGTGCCCTCCTCAGGTGTCCAGTATCCCTTGAATTTTTAGTTTTGTTCAAAGATCTTTTAGGATCTTAAATTAATGACCCAGGTGGTGCTTGATGCCAACCTTAAAAGAATTAATGGGGTTTTTCAAAATCTACAGTCCGCCAGATTGAGCTCTCCGTGTGGGTTTGATAAAAATTATGTTATGCCTCTAGCCCCCTCCCCCCCCCAATTTCGAGCAACCCAAAATCACTTTGCGGGCATATAGGGACCATACTGCTGTGCCAAGGAAAAACGCTATATGAACCTTTAGGCGTTGCCAAATTCTCTTAGATGAATCACGAATTTTCGGTGAAATTTGTCAATATTTTTCTTCCAATTTTTCAGATAATTTTGTTCGCAATTTCACCTAAAGTTCTTGAGAAACGTATCAGGAATATACTCATAACTTTCTTCAAAAATAAACATTTTATAGAAGGACATTGGGCAACTCTGGATTGTTTATACTGCATTTTTCCTTAGCATAGCAGCATAGATATGGTCCACCATGCAAATTTTGAATGAAATTGAACGAATAGATTTTGAGATATGGCTATAAATAGATTCAGGGGTGCTGGACGGACGGACACACATTTTTCAAGTATGGTTAGTTTGACTTCAGGTACCTTGAAACGCCCAGAAATGATGAGATTTCAATTTTTTTTTGTTTTCTTGGAGGATGACAATACTTCCCCTAACCGCAAGGGGAATGAGAAAGTTCATAAATCTTATTAAATCCAAGTGTAGTGAAACATATTAGAGACAGAAGTGAAGCAAAATTTTTTCTCAATCTTGATATCCCTCTTTTGTTTTGCTTTTCTGTTCTCATCCCTGATCGATGCAATATGTTACAAACTCATTCATGGTGCCCTCCGTTTTCTAGCAATTTTGGCAAAAGCTGCTATGCCACTGGCTGATTCATCTACAATGATCCAAACTTCGACTAGCATATCATCTTCAAGGTGTATGTTCCCAACTGTGTAGACATATCAATTGTATTGTATCGTATCGTGTATCTTTGATCAAACTTTGAAATTGCATCAACAAATAATAGGGATTTATATTTTCAGGTGTATCAGCGAGCTGATTTGAACCGTATCCTTATGTCTCAAGCTATCGGACCCTTCTGTGATCTCAAACAAGATGTCACGAGTTGGAACAATACGGAAGGAGCTGCCGTTGCCATCGACATGACTGAATATGAAAGAGAAAGTAAGTATTTTAAGTCTTTTTGACTGTAATACAAAACTCATGCCTTATAAAAGTGCAAGTCTGTTACAATCAAGCACATAGAAAACAGAAAAAAATTAATGGATTGAATAAGGAGTTGTTCTAAGTGAGGGCCTTGATGGCAGATTATGACAAAAACGAAAGAGATCCTATTCCTAATATTTTGTTTTGTTTATGTCACTCTGCCTCCCCCGTTTTTCCTTAAATTCTTATGCAAAGAAATGAGACTTGGATTAGTTACAGAGGATGAAAAATATAATGGTCGACCAAGGAAGATTGGTTATTCTGAATGCATACCTTTTTTTACCTCCAGTTATCAGCTTTCATGTAAAGTAAGCTATTATGAGTTGTAGATTCGTCCGTCCTTCTGTCATGACTTGACCACCAAGAGTTTGCCTCTGGCCCCATTTTAAAGACTTATTAGTGTCTTAAATGTGTAATAGCAATGCAATATAACTTTAGAATCAAAGTTCAATGATTTCTCCCACACAATCGTTTAAAATATTTTTGGGCAAAGTTCAAGTTCATTCGAGGGATTTATCTCAAAATCGGTTTTTTATTTATTTGAGGCAAGAGATTTATTTTTCATTTTATTTTTTTCCTCTCAAGTTAGTTTTTCGAACTTTTTGATGATTATTAGTCTTAGTGGACCTTGGGAATTCATCAAAGGTTTTTGCCTATCTTACAAATGATTAAAAGGAAGTGACACGTCAATTTCCGCGACCGGATTTTTTGCCCGAAAAATGTTTTTGAGGGTTTTTGTAGTTTATATCAGGTCGTTTTTGGGTGGATAAAGGTCTGGCTATACGAAGAGCCAGCAAAACCGAAGTATTCGGTGAAATAGACCATTTTGTACCTGCAGTTTTATTGAATTTCTTAAAGCGACCTCCTCATCTCCCCTGATCGCTCCTATCCTCGCCAATCAATTTTAGACACATGATTTATTCAGATGATTTCCTTTGTCCGCTTTTCTATTAGTGGTACAATTTTTTTTTCTTGTAACCTTTGCTATGAGACCTCGTAAAACCGAAGCATCATTGAAAGATGTCTGGCAAAAGTAATAAGTTCTCAACTTGCAGCTACTTTCCAGACTTTTTTATTTAGTCCCTACTCTAATGCGTGTAAGTTCCAGTGTCATGAAAAAAATATAAAGCAACCTCCTCATCTCCCCTTTTAGTTGCTCCTATCCTCGCCAACTACCATTGTACAAAGCAGTTTATGGATACCTAATTCACACATGGTGGAAGCACGAACATAAGACCCGCAGAGGGGTTGGGTTGGGGGGTTGAACATAAGACCCAGAAATTGGATCCTGGAGGCGAACAGACGCAAAATCAGGAGAACAGTATGGACTGTATTTTGCAATATGGACCTATAAATTCTGGCTCATCTGGAAAAACAATTATGTGCATAGGGAAACTAATAGCGTATACGTTGTTTTTAAACCGGGCCGGAATTTATAGGTCCAAATTGCAAAATGCAGTCTAGTTGTGATCGAGATCAGACAATTAGGAATTATTTTGAGTGAAACTCAAGTTATGCGATGAGAAATAATGCGTATAAAGAGCAGAACTCAACATATACGATTAGAAATTAATTGCATTAAGTAAGAGTGAAACTCAAGTTATGCGATGAGAGATAATGCGTTTAAAGAGCAAGAAACTCAACTTAAAGGTACGATTAGAAATTATTTGCATAAAGAGTGAAACTAAAGTTATGCGATGAGAGATAATGCGTACAAAGAGCAAGAATCTCAACATATACGATTAGAAATTATTTGCATAAATAGATAAAACTCAGCTTATGCTATGCAAATTCTTAGTGTAAAGAGCGTGGGACTCAACTTACACAAGTACAGATTTTCGCGCAAAGAGGTAAAACTCTTCTTACGCTACTGCAAATTCTTTGAGTATAGTGGGTAGGACTCAACTTACATGAGTACAAATAATTTGCGTTAAGAGATAAAACTCAACTTCTGCAACAAGAGATAATGCGTATAAAGAGCAAGAGACACCTACAGCTTTTACAATCAGAAATTGTTGACGTGTAAAATGTACTCTTCCTCTCATGCAAAAATATGTAAGTAATAAAGCAAAATATTTTACCTAAATAAATGAAGACGCACACAAGCAATGAATGAATAAAGTAAGAAATGGCACAGTGACACAGTGTGCACTTAGTTTTCACTGAAATGATGTCTCAATTTAACGTAGAACAACATAGCAACAAAAACTAAGAATATCGTGAAAAATGCACTAAAAGAACAAGGGTTTCGAGGAGAATTTATTTAAAGATTGAAGTAGAAATTCGTCTGGATAAAAATTTGCGTTCTTATTTTCGATCAACGGCGTGGTAAGAAAGGCATTGGATCTGAGATTTAGGTTTTGTTTACTTGGCTCTTGTTGCTTTCCTACTTACATTCCCTCTCTCATTCCGATTGTTTCTTGTTGTACCCTTCGTTCCATGGTTCATACTTAGTCTTTCGCTTTAACGGAAATGCAAGAGCCAATCAAAAATTGATCCTACAAAGCGAAACTCTAAGTATGAAACGACTCTGGTGTTCATTGGTCGAGAAGTAACTGCGTCATGAGGAATGTGGCCACCACAATCGAGTCCTTATTTTTACTGAACTTCAGACAGTGGGAAACGCACACAGAACTGTTGTCAAATTAAATGATGTTTTTAATTAATAATAATGGAAATATCATGATCTTTTTATCCAAAGGATTGACGCCAAATCACGGATCGGTTGGGAACTATTGAATCTATGAGTCGCTGCGTTGCGGCTAGTGTCTTTTGTCCGCCCAATAACAAAAAATTATGATGGTACCTGCACTTGGTATAAAGATTGACAACTGACTTCACCTATTTGATTTATTATCTTATGTTTTCTCAATGCAGTAAATAAGTCTGGAGATCTAAGTATTGGCATGAGTTCATGAGAATAAAAGGCTCATCTGAATGTGAGAGGCCAAAGCGGCACTTACGGACACCGTACCTGGGTTCGTAGGCCCACCCTCGTACTGAGACGGCAACTCCCAACTCTTGATCGGAGGATAGGCCGTACCTAGTTGGTAAGAGTGGAGAGGCATTTATGATTACATTGATACCATGGGGTCTAATTGTATTCAGCCTTGATTAACACGATCGCACTTATTCCAATGGAACTAGGTAGGAACAGGTACCTACGTATCTTAATACTGAAGTCCTCTAAACAGATGAGCAACACATTCTGTTACGCTTTTAAGTAGAGGAGGAATGGACGCACCCATTTCACACAGCAATCGATGCAAGAAAATGAAGCCTTCATTGTATTTTTATCATCAACTTATGAAATGATGAGAATAAAACGGGTGCATACCTTTCATTAAAGACCTCACTATATCTTGTTGGGCAAAATGATGTTTCTAACAACTCCTGACACAAAATCAAAGAGACTCAGAAGAAACCAATTTGAGCAAATGCTCACAGTCAAAGATCTTTGATTGTGTGACATTTATTTGACCCATGATTGAACTGTTCCGAAAAGGGATGGAATTTTGCCTCACATACTCAGGTACGCAAGTCCTGCGTAACAAGTATGGTAGAAGAGATAGGAGGATTCCAAGATAAATCATGAAGGAAACATGTTCTTGATGTTAGTAACGTACACCTCAGAAAAGCATAATCACTCCAGAGCACATAGGTTGATAGCAAAATATAGAGCGAATAAATTTTGGTCAAAGTTCAGTAACTGTCGCATGTGAAACCGGAGGCTCATATTATATTCCAGTAATTCTTAGACTTTAGTAGTGACTAGTGAGAATACATTCTGTGATGTAAAAGCTGCCTCTTTTCGAGAGTTTGGCACAATTTCGGTGTAATTTCGTTAACGTAATTTACCTGAATTACATCTATCGCTTAGGTCAGGTACGGTTACAGCCGGCGGCGCTACTGGATCTAACATAAACATGACGACATAACCTCACTTATAAATTTGTCACATATTGTTCAAAATAAAGATATGACTTGAACATTTAAAGAGAAACTAAGGTAATAGTATATCGGACTCCAGTAGAACACGTAGGACGTAATAATATGAGTATGTAATTATAGTAGTTAGCATCTACAAAGAATTAAACTCTTATCCAAATTAGGTAAATCTATTCACAGCTAGTTAGAGGTTGGTAACGACCGACAAGGGGAATTTCGTTCCCAAAACTCGAGCTGAACTGGCTGAACTGAACGGAATCAACCAATGGCATTGAACCACTACCGGTTTTTTTCTAAATTCAAAAAATTATAGCTAAAATTGTGAAAGATATTAGCCGATGCTGAATTATCCGTGTGATGAAGCCCTATTAAATGTGGTAGAAATGAAATCCTCATATATTCAACCTTGATCCTTCGTAGGTTCCATTGGAATCGGCCAACGTGTAAGTGAGAAATCTGCTGTAAAAGGTGGTTACGACAGGCAGGTTTCAGTCGAATTAGTTGTATTTTAAGAAATCTTTCTTCTAAAACATTTGGAATGTTAAAATAAAGTCAAACACGGCACACACGGTAACATAAAGTTTCTTCCGGTACCCACTTTTATGGGTATAGGGTTTACTGTTATCGCGGAATTAGAGTCAGTTTCTCAGGACCCTGGATTCTTGAAATTCAAATTTCCCGGCAAAGTAAAAAGTAAAATTTTCCTCGTTTTGGGTCATTTAGTGCTTATAACTTTTTGAAAACTCAATGGATCTTAATGAAACTCTTCCTTTTTGTAGTTCTAATTGAGATGCGTCCGTAGACACCAAGATAGTAGAAATCCGTGCCGTCGTTTGGGCTGCAGTCGAGTTCAAACTGAATCAATTTTCAGATTAAGGGAGTTGCCTGTGACTAAGAGTGTCGGCCACCCATTTGCTGTCGGGACTTTAGTAGGACGTCATTTTCCTCGACCGGGGGTGGCTACCGCCACTCTTGATATCTGCAATATTTGTGTTGTATTCTTCATTGGTTCTAGCCTAAAGAACCCTGCACAATCCATATGGGAAATGGCCCTCTCTACAATCTTATGAAACTTGGATATGTTGCTCAGCTAGGCATTCTGATCAAAGGGAAAACAAGAGCCCGGACGTGAATTGCGGAGCGAGTGGAATCCCCTACTTTTAGACAAGTCGTCTCTGATTGGCTGATTCGCCTGGGGCCCACTTTCCGGGGCCCTTATGGAAAATAACACGGGGTTCATTTTCCATCGAAAATATCTCGAAAACAAGAAAAAATTTATCACTCCAAAATTCCAGAAATCGATTCTCCAGATTTTTTGAAGAGATTGATGGGTTAAACATGACACTTTTGTCTCAAACACACGGAACAGCTCGACTTGGAAATTTTTTTTTTCAACTTGAAATATGGCACCCTCCGGTTGTTTACGCACCGGGTCAGCTGATAATGGGCACCAGCATTTCTCGATCTGAAATTTGACAAATTTTCAATTTAAAATCATCTTTTGTGACATAAAATGGTTTTTTGTCTTTCAATCAGTAATGTCTTAATACCTTTTCACTTCAGTTTCGAAAGTTTATCGCGTTTCTTCATTGTTCCTTTCGCTTTTAATGGTTGAAGCTGAAGCCAAGTAGCTTCGTCGGTTTGACCTGCTTTTTTTCCTCGTAGAGGATTTTATTGTGTCTCTCCTTCAAGTCTCAGCTTTAGCAGTGTTACTTTTCCATCATAAACACTTACTTCGGTAATAATCAAAGCTTACATTTCAGTTCTGTGTCTGCAAGTGTCTGCGTCAGGAATCGTTCTTCGAGAGCAGCATCTCATGACTGCAGCATACAGATGGAAATTATGCTTGTTTTATGGTTTTATTTAAACAACTTGTGCTCTAAATTTATCGTTGAAATGAAAAATGGTGTGTATTACTGTACCCAAAAGCTTAGCGTAGAAAATTTGAGCATCTGTCTCAGTGTGAGCGGTCCTTTGTTGCGGTCAAAGCTGCTCATTGATGACAGTTTCTTAAAGGAAAAGTCTTTGATGGATCAAGAAAAATTATCTAATTTCTTATACTGATGGCGCATTCTATGTCATCTATCTATACTAATAAAGCAGACTTCAGAAAATCAATGTGTTGGTCTCCTGCAAAAGTATGAGACTTTTGCTCTTGCCACACGGATCCTTTTCTGGTACGCGCAACGGGTGCGAGGAAGATAGAAGGAGTTCGGCGACCAACGAGTGCGAGGAAGATGGAACGAATTCGGCCTCGCGCTGTTAGAAACGTCGCGCCGCGCCATGATTTTTGCGAGCTCTGACTCGTGCATCTGTTGATCCGTTGCCGGGCTACTCTTTCAGGGATGTGAAAATCTGTCAGTGCATTGGTCTCCTCTGCGAAAGTATGAGATATTTGCTCCGCGGATCCTTTTGATTTCTTTGGGTTTTTTTTTGCAAAAGATTAGTGAAAAAAGTGCTCCGCGGAACCTTTTGTTTTCTGTTTGTTTGTTTTTTTTTTTTTTTTTTGCAAAAATTTAACTGCTAAAGCCCGAAAGTTAATAAGTTGTTGTTTTTTAGTCTTCACGTCACCTGGGGTTACTTTTTGTTACTTTTATCTTCTGTTTTTAAATGATTCAGGCAAATTCTTGGAACATCTTGAAAGAAGCTGTTGTTTGGCTTCAAAAATAAAATAAATAAACCAAAATGGAACATGAAGACTGTGTGCAACGTTGCAATCGGAGGAGAAGCGGGATTTTCGCGCTCCCGCCGGAAGCCATACCATTGTGCGGCGCCGCTCGTGCCCTTCCCTCCCAGTCACTCTCCGCTGCCCCGCCGCCCATACCTTGGCTCCTCTATCGCTCCAACTCGACGCTCACGAGGCTGCACCCATCATCACCGGACCGCGCCCGCACGCCGTCTTCTTACGCGGCCTCTTCTTCGGCCATGTCGCCTCTTTTTCCCATCGATCCTTTCTCTAAGTCTTCAAAAACGTCTAAGAAGTCTATTTTTTTATCTTTACTAAACATGATAATGCTAATATCACAAATAATACAAAAAGAGAGGAAAAACAAATGATAATCCATGCGAAAGTACGTAGGAGAGTTGGAATGCCTAAGAGACGCTAAATAAAACAAACTTTTTCTTATTTTCTTCCCTCTTCCTTTCTTTTTTTTCTCTTCATTTTTCTCATGTGGAAGCAGTGAAAGTAACTTCTGTTCGAAGATGATGTTGATGTTTTTTCTTTTTTTTTTTCTTTCGTTCTTTCAATAATGACGTGGCGAAGGTTGAGGGTAATTAGTCGGCTGACGATGCCCAAGTAGGAATTAAGTTTGCTTTAGTCTTGACTTAGCGAAACCGCACCAATGGAGGAGGAGAGAAGGATCATTACTAACTGAACTCAAGGAAGAGAGATTTCCATTTAGGCGTAAATGGTCACATTTTAAGTCCCTCCAACTTGCAGCACCACCTTATCAGCCATCTTATTATCTGCTGATCGTATCCTCTAATCAGATCGTACATCCAAGACAAACTCCAAAGAGATGATGAAAAAGAGTTGCAGGTCGACCGTAACTTTCATGCGCGTACGCGGCTTTTTTGCGAGTACGAGTTTACGATCAGCGATCAGAACCCTCGACCTTCGAAAGTTACTTAGGGATTTTCTTGCAATGGTCTTCCAGCCGCATCTTTAATGGCTTTTTTATGGAACCTGGAGAAAACTCGTACTCACAAAAAGCCGCGTACGCGCATGAATGTTACGGTCAACCTGCAACTCTTTTTCATCATCTCTTTGGAGTTTGTCTTGGATGTACGATCTGATTAGAGGATACGATCAGCAGATAATAAGATGGTTGATAAGGTGGTGCTGCAAGTTGGAGGGACTTAAAATGTGACCATTTACGCCTAAATGGACATCTCTCTTCCTTGAGTTCAGTTAGTAATGATCCCTCTCTCTTCCTCCATTGGTGCGGTTTCGCTAAGTCAAGACTAAAGCAAACTTAATTCCTACTTGGGCATCGTCAGCCGACTAATTACCCTCAACCTTCGCCACGTCATTATTGAAAGAAAGAAAAAAAAAAAAAAAAAAACCTCAACATCATCTTCGAACAGAAGTTACTTTCACTGCTTCCACATGAGAAAAATGAAGAAAAAAAGAAAGAAAGGAAGAGGGAAGAAAATAAGAAAGAGTTTGTTTTATTTAGCGTCTCCTAGGCATTCCAACTCCCCTACGTACTTTCACATGGATTATCATTTGTTTTTCCTCTCTTTTTATATTATTTGTGATATTAGCATTATCATGTTTAGTAAAAATGGACTTCTTAAACGTTTTTGAAGACTTAGAGAAAGGATCGATGGGAAAAAGAGGCGACATGGCCGAAGAAGAGGCCGCGTAGGAAGACGGCGTGCGGGCGCGGTCCGGTAATGATGGGCGCAGCCTCGTGAGCGTCGGAGTTGGAGCGATAGAGGAGCCAAGGTATGGGCGGCGGGGCAGCGGAGAGTGACTGGGAGGGAAGGGCACGAGCGGTGCCGCACAATGGTATGGCTTCCGGCGGGAGCGCGCGAAACCTCCGTTTACGCACATAAAACGGCGAATATCTCGAAAACTGCACATGGGATCTTGTTTGGCCTCTTGGAACTTTTGTTCATGATGACATGCTGCACAACATACTGAAGTTTCAACGCATTTGACCGGGGGCAATTTTCCATAAGAACCGTGCATAGTCCTTTGTCAAATTTCAGATCGAGAAATGCTGGTGCCCATAATCAGCTGACCCGGTGCGTAAACAACCGGAGGGTGCCATATTTCAAGTTGAAAAAAAAAATTTCCAAGTCGAGCTGTTCCGTGTGTTTGAGACTAAAGTGTCATGTTATACCCATCAATCTCTTCAGAATAATCTGGAGAATCGAGTTCTGGAATTTTGGACTGATAAATTTTTCCTTGTTTTCGAGATATTTTCGATGGAAAATGAACCCCGTGTTATTTTCCATAAGGGCTCCGGAAAGTGGGCCCCAGGCGAATCAGCCAATCAGAGACGACTCGTCTAAAAGTAGGGGATGCCACTCGCTCCGCAATTCACGTCCGGGCTCTTGTTTTCTCCTTGATTCTGATCCAAAGTTCTCATGGGCCGAAAGAGATCCCATGAGCGGTTTTCGAGATATTCGCCGTTTTATGTGCGTAAATTGAGGTTTCGCTGGCCGGACCATTGTGGTGCTACTTATGCCCTTCCCTTCCAGTCCACTGCGGCCGCTCTCTGCTTCCCTGCCACCCATAACCGAGGCTCGGACTGACGCTCACGGTGATTAGACCACCCGGCTCGGCGACGATGACCAAAGCCTCGTGAGCGTCGGAGTCCGAGCCTCGGGTACGGGTAGCAGGGAAGCGGAGAGCGGCCGGAGTGGACTGGAAGGAAGGGCACAAGAAGCGCCGCACAATGGTCTGGCCAGTGAAACCTCAATTTACGCACATAAAACGGTGAATATGTAGGAAACCGCCCGTGGGATTTCTTTCGGCCCATGAGAACTTTTGATCAGAATGACTAGCTGAGCAATATATCCAAGTTTCATCAGATTGTGGAGAGAGCCATTTCCCATAAGGATTGTGCAGGGTTCTTTACCATCTTAAAAGACGCATTCTCATGTCTTTAAGAAGTCATCATTTCAATTAGGTAGATTCATTATTTGAGCCAAAAATCAAACTAGATTACTACACAAGCCATCAGATTTGCCATTAAATTATTCTTTAACTGTGATATTTTTCCCCCCAATACCAACCCCTTTTTCGTTTTCTTTTACAGGAGACCAATGTCCCATGTTCTTTGACGATGGGACCAATCCATGGGAGAATAAAGTGAAGGAAAGGATTATTTTCCGATTTGGATTCAGCTCAGCCTCCACAGGAACTCTCTCTCTCACAGTAGTTTCAATATCCATCCTCATGCTTTCAAGATTCTTACTCTCGTGAATGCAGGAACTTTATTTTCCCGTGAATTGCAGTTTTTAGTCAGCTTTGCCTTTTAGTAAAACTGCAAACGTTTTATAAAGTTTACCAGCTCTGATCTTTTTTTTTTATGAATCCAACTTCGTAGTGCTTGAAAGAATACTCAGTTTTATTTCTTTTATTGAAGACAGTCCACTCTTTTTACCGTCAACTCTCGCCTCAAGTATAATAGTAATAATAACGCAATGGGCCTGTTGCAAACTTTTGCTAGAGCAAAAATAAGAGTTGTTTCTTGTAGATAATGCCTCAAAAATCACGATGAGCGCATCGGCAAAGTCTGAAATGCACTCATAACTTCACAATCTGCGTAAGAAATTTGCGTTTTTTTAAGCTTCCCGCTTCAAAAACGATACTACGGCATAGGTGAACATTTTGTTAGAGGAGTCGCTCCATCGTCGGCGATATTCATCATGGCCGACGCTTGCACGCAGTTCCGCTCGTAATTCAAGGAGAGTTCAAGGTCAATCAATTCGGGCGTGGAAAATATGAACGTTAACACACCGATTGTTATCTGGTCTAATCCAGTTCAGGTGTTATCTCGTCCCATCAAACGTGTTTTGGCGGATTGGCGTCGGCTATGATGATTATTGCCGACGATGGAACGACTCCTCTTACAAAATGTTCACCTGTGCCATAGTATCGTTTTTGAAGCGGGAAGCTCAAAAAACCGCAAATTTCTTACGCAGATTGTGAAGTTATGAGTGCATTTCAGAGTTTGCCGATGCGCTCATCGTGATTTTTGAGGCATTATCTATAAGAAACAACTCTTAGTTTTGCTCTAGCAAAAGTTTGCAACAGGCCCATTTCTGTGCCTTTTATTGATGTGTCTCTTATGAACCCCCCCCCCTTTTTTTTTTTTTTTTTTTTTTAAATCAGAAAATTAGTGTTACCTACAATATTAGAAGTTGTGATCGAAAAACTCATAACTTGTTTTGCCTTTTGTGCCGTCATGACTGATAAATGCCTTATCTACCTTTTCTACATTCCTTATTTGCGCATGCATAGAAATACCACCCCATTAATACCCAATGTGGAAAGCTAAATTCTTTTCTATGAAGAACAGAAAAAGGAACTGAAGATTTATTTACAATCCTCGGCAATATGTATTACCCAGAAGATTCTGTAGTTAGTCGAACTCATGACTCGTGAACAGCTTAGTGAAGTGAGCTCTTTCATAATCTAGGCCTCTGAAAATCATCGCAATTTAATTTCAATGTCAAAATAATATGGGAAATTATAACATTCGAAGTAATTCCAGGTTGAGGAAATGTAAGTCTGCTCAAGATAAACTTGATTTTGTAAATATTGTACTTTTCTGTCCATTGTAGAAAGCTTGAATGCCTTTGTCCCTCCCTCCCCACCAAACTTAGTCAGTTCATCATTAAAAACTTGAAGCATTTCGTTAGGGCCAGCAATGTTTAGAGATGCATTTTTCTTTTTATCATCAATGCATCAAAGAAATTGCACTATATCAATGATATTAGGCAGTTAATTACATCTGTGAGTTGTGAAAAGCAGCTGTGCACCAAGAATTTTCTATGCCATCAGTATATTTTTTTTGACGATAGTTCTAGTCCGTGTGCTCTTTTGTATCGTAACGACTATTTGCATATGAGGTATTGTAATTGTTTGACAAAGTTCACATGTCTTTATTTAACACATATTGACTTTCTGAGTTAAATCTTTCCCTGTTTTTGTAAATATTTTTATAAGTTTTAATTATCTTCTCTAACTAGTGCACTGTTTTTTGCCTTTTTTTATCTCTAGTGCTGCGTTCTTTTTTTTTTTATTTACCGTGTGTGTAGTTATTCTAAACAAATAATCTTGTTAAGATCTGGAATATTCAATTGAATACAGTTGACAGGCTTGGAGGACAAGGCGCGTTTGTGCAGTTTTTGAAAAAATGGAGGTATTAATGATTTCAAGTAACACTATTCTCAATGCATATTCTGTGAAAAATTTGCTCTCAACTTCAAATTTTTAAGCATAAAAAAGTCACTTTGAACTTTCTCTCCGCCGTAAGGATCCATGTAATTTCAAAACTTCAAACTCCTATTTCTCAAAATAGCAAAAACTGCACTTATGCAACTTGTCCTCCAAGCCCCTCAGTTGAACTTATTCAAACCTGCTATCAAACTTAAAACTTGTCCGTCCAATTATTTTATTCTTTTTTATTTGTTTGTTTACCTTTCTTGTTGTATACTGATGGCTGAGGAACAATACTGTCTACCTGCAAACTGACGATTTTACAAGAAAAAGAAAGAATTTTGCTATTTTTGAAATTTTGAGGTTAGGTTTCCAATTTTTTTGTACATCATCATTCTAGTGTTCCCATGCGCGATCGGGAAAACTAAAATCATCGGCTTGCTTATTTAATACTATGAAGCAAAATTGCTCACCCATTATCGCCAAAATGTTCAGTCAGGCGGTATTGTTCCTAAGTCATCAATATTTTCTATTATTATAGACATATTTAATGTTAGATTTTAAACGTATAATAATGATTTGTTCAGATTATACCTACATGTAAACTATTAGTAAGTACCCTAGGGTGGAGCGAAAAACACTTTTTTTCGAAATTGCTTGATGGCTACATTAGAAAAGTTGCCTCTCATAATATAAACAGACCCGTGTTTTTTTCTTTTTCCGAAATTCTAACTCCTTCTGTTGGCATGGTCCATCTGTAGTTTTGAACTTCACATAAAAATCACGTTTTTTTACCTAAAAAACGGGCTAGCGCCGTTTGATTTAAACTTTACACCTTGAAACTGACGTATTCCCATAATTTTGATACGCCAAGTTCATTTATGACCATTGCCATGTTGCCAGAAATACGTGAATTGTAAAATCTTTAAGTGCTCCCACATCGCACAATTATAAAGTTTGTGATCCCGATAATTATTGAGATTTTTGAAGATCCGATGATTTTTTTTAGGGACGAACCAGTCATGCTAGAAGCTCCATATTTTGAGACGATAGCCTCCTAACATACTACTTTTAGTATAAATTGAACATTTTGCCGTGCAAGAAGCACAAGTATTTTTTAAAAATTCGGAAACCTAACCGAAAACGCTGTTTAGGCGCAAATAGGATACATTTCAGCGAGTAGACTGATTTTTTAAAGTTGGTAGGAATATTTCTATCGTCATAAAAACTCAAGATAGTTGACTTCTAATACACTATATAAAATACACATGAGAGCTTACAGGACGCGTAAGTATTTCTTACAAATTCGGAAATTTGACCAAAAACGATGTTTTAAAGCAATAATATATTTCGAAGAAAATTTATTCTTCTTTAAAAAAAAAATTATTCTGAGGATATTTAAGTCCGATATTATGTTTTTAAGTCGATCAGAAGTTTTCTAAATTTCTGTTTCAGGGACTAACACTTTTATTTTTTGTTGAAACTATGTTGTTAGATGTCGACTACCTTAGGCTTTTATGAAGCTGGCAATATATCTCCGAAATATATCTTTGCCTCAAAACAGCATTTTCGGTCAAATTCCCGAATTTTTAAGAAATACTTCCGCGTCCTGTATGCTCTAATGTGTGATTTATATCAAAAGTAGTGAATTAGAAGTCAGCTATTTTGATTTTTTTTAACAATTGAAATATTCCTTCAAACATTAAAAATCAGGCAACTCGCTGAAATGTATCCCATCTGCGCCTAAACAGCGTTTTTGGTCAAGTTTCCGAATTTTAAAAAAAAATACTTGTGCGTCTTGCACGGCAAAATGTTCAATTTACATCAAAAGTACTGTGTTAGGAGGCTATCATCTCAAATGTTTGGGGTTCTAGCGTGACTGCTTTGTCCCCATAAAAATCACCAAATCGTCAATAATTATTGGGATCACAAACTTTACAATTCGTCACCTTCATGACGAAGGGGCGTATTATGATTTTGACTACTTTACTCCCACTCATATGAGAAGAAATTCTACTCATATCACCAAAATATTCTACTCATACGAGGAGAAAAGTTCAACTCACATTAATTCAATTTTTCAGAAATGCTGTTTCTGACCAGGAGACACCGACATGTAAAGAGCTTTATGCACAAACGGCTTTTTTCGCCCCCCCCCCCCCCCCTTNNNNGGTGGGGGGGGGGGGGGGGGGGGGGGGGGGGGGGGGGGGGGGGGGGGGGGGGGGGGGGGGGGGGGGGGGGGGGGGGGGGGGGGGGGGGGGGTTGGAAGGCACAACCTGTGAACCTTGATATCTCTAGACCGAAAAAAGATATTGAAGTCCGCTTTGAACAAAAAATCGTCTTAAATTACATACTTTAAGATTCTAAAGGTTGAAATCCCGATATCACATTTTTTAAGTTAACATATGTGCTTTTTTCCAGTTTTTGGGTCTAGAAAATTTCTTTTAAACAAAGAATTTAAACAGATCTCAATTTTTTATTAGAACCAAAACCAGTTTCTTAAATTGCTCGTCTTTTTTCGCATCCAACGAGTGATCCATTAAGCTGGGGAACCAAACGGGCCCGGAGTTATGAGCGATTGAAGTTTCCGCTCAACGTGCGCCGGCCGATTTTCGCGCGCAAAAAAGTCGGATTTGACTGTTATTAAATCAGATTGAATGTTCAAACTGTGCAAAATGCATTTTTAGGGACTCTTGAGAGTCGTTAGTTCAGAAATTACAAATACTTCAAAAAAATTAATTTTTCAAAATTACAGCTCCGTAGCGCTATTTTAGAGGCCCACTGAGCGCCAACCGGCTGCTCAGTGGGCCTGCACGGTGCTGTAATTTTTAAAAAAGTGAATTTTTTGGTAATTTCTGAACTAAGCAACTCTCAAGAGTCCCTAAAAATGCATTTTGCACAGTTTGAACATTCAATCTGATTTAAAAACTGGTTTTGGTTCAAATAAAAAATTGAGATCTGTATAAATTCTTTGTTTAAAAGAAATTTTCTAGACCCAAAAACTGGAAAAAAGCACATACAGGGTTATTCAAAAGTTACGCACCACTGGCCATAACTTTAGTTCTAATTATGATATCGATTTGCAGTTTGTGGCGTCCTTCCTCATATCGAGGGGGAAACTTTTTGAGGTACTTTTCAGTTCTTCACTCCCCCAGGGGGAGGGGGGGCGGGGGGCAACTCAAAAATTTCAAATGGCAACCCCCATCATGTGATACATCGTTAGAAAGAGCATGAAAAAAGAAAAATTTTGGTGCAAACCGGAAGTCGATCTGACCCCCCTGTCAAAAGTTAGGGGGGTCCAAAGGTTATTTAGGGGGTCCGTACCTTCATTTTTTAGAGTA